AGACCAAATCCCATTTGATGCCTATTTTTATAAATAAAATTTTACTGAAACACAACCATCCTGTTCTTTTACTATTTGCTATGACTGCTTTTGGAGTGCAATGGAAGAGTTGAGTAATAGCAAGGAAGAGTCCGAGTTGGGCAAAACTGAAACATATAACAGCTGGATCCTTAGAGGGCAGGTTTACCAACCTGCATTCTAGAAGATAAAATATTTTTGCAGAATGTATGTATTTGAAATAATAAGCAAGGGAGAGGGAGCTTGGGAGGAGGGTAGGAGAGAGGAGGAAAAAGAGGTTAAAGAGAGGTAGAAGGTAGGGGAGAAGATAAAGAAAAATTGTTAAGCTCCACAGAGTCTAGAAAATCTTAGCTCTTAACTTCATAGACTTTGATGTTTCATTTAATATTATTTACTTCAGCTATACTCTTTCTACTTGAACTTCTTAACAGGAATAATTTTCTTTAAATAGTCCTTGGATTTTATGGCCTAAAACAGGTCATTAGTAGCAGTAGTTTCTCTGCCTGCACTCTTCTTCATAATATTAAGAAGTAAATACACTCTCAAGATATTTCTAGTGGTAGAGTTACCAACAAAAGCTCTTGAATACCAGCTCTGGGAAATAAATTTGGATGAACACATTTATAAAATATATCATGGATCCTTTCTACTTTTCCTGCATTTGTTTGTATAATTTTAATTTAATTCTGTGCTATTGAAAGCCAAGTTTTTTTTAATTATCATGTGAATATCTATATAATATATATATATGGAAGAAAATACAGAGCCACAACTGAAATATTTTCATCATTTGGTAGGAGGTACAGTGCTGTGAAGAGGAACTAAACATGATTTATTTTCCAAATTGCATTCAGTAATGGCTAACTCCCACTTTTTTCTTGCTCTGTCAAAAATTAGATTCGATGTGTGCTAGTCGTTTAGGGAGTTTTTCCTTACCAATTTCAAACTCTGTCTTGTGGCTTCCTGTTTGGTAATCAGGAAATAAGACCTGGTATGGCAGATTGCAAATACATCCTCTTTGCCCTACCCTGCAGGGACACCTATAGAATCCCCGAGCTCCATGTTCTGCTGTGAGATGTGACCATGTGATTTCATTTGTAAATAACTGATGATATTCCTTGGTCAGGAATAAAGAGAAAATAACTTGTTTTGCATAAATTCTGCCTATCTCTGAGCCAACATCAGTTTTCCAAACACTTTCAACCTCAGAACACAGAAGGATAACTGCCAAGGACAGAGTTTATTTAAAAGATTGTCATAATCAGTGCTGCTTGAACTGAAGCATCCAGTTACCTGTACTTTGAATTCCTCTGGGTTCTTATTTCTATTAAATCTAACTTTTCTGAAGATTAGTTTAGATTAAATCCTGGAATTGACATTTGAGACACCTGTCCAAGACTGTACTTAATAAATGATTCAATCCCTCCCTTTGGCATTACTAGAATTCATCTTGTCTTATGCAGTAAACGGCAAACACACCAAATAAATTCATATGTGGTTGCTTAGTTCTGGAAAAGAGAGGTACACAGAGGCTCAAACCACCAGACTTATTATTTGGATAGAGTGCTTTAAGCTAATGAGTGAGTTACCTGTTGACATCAAGTGCCCATTTACTGGCAGGTGTTAGAATGCACATTAATGACAGGGTTTGAGACAGGGAGCCCACAGAGCAGAAATTCCTGAGTGCAGATGCCCATGTGAAATTTGGCCTGGCTTCCAGACCTGCCTTGACTGTGCCCACATGGAATTCAGTAGGAAAGATAGCACCTGCAACCCTCCCCACTCAGCCCTTGCTGGGCAAAGTAGAAAGAGCTGCTGAATGTTTGGTGCTGGGAATGAGAAGCAATGAACTTGAAAAAACAGTTGCAAAAACAGAAACATCAATCCCTCACCCTCACCATCAACAAAAACAAATAAAAATAAAAACAGATATTGTCCTGGCACTTGACTTTCTAATTTCTGCTTCATCTGTTGTGGCTATGCTCCTGGCAAGCTTGTAAGATAAACAGGACTCTCCTCTTTTTTTTTTTTAATTGTACTTATAAAAATCTTATTTAAGTTATACAAGTTTCATGTATTTCACATATACAGACTTTGGAACATGAGTCTAATCATGGATTGGGAATAAGACACATTTGGGATTCATTTTTGCATAGACCACCTGTGTTTTCCTGTTCCTACCAAGGTGACCGGGGTAACTCATTTAAACCCCGTTGGCTTTATTTTCATCATGTATAAAAGGAGAGAGACTAGATCTCTTTTGAAGTTTCCTTTTGGAGTTAATTTTCTTTTTTCCTGGTCTCATATAGAATGGTGAGTTATAATTATGCCTTTCTAAACTAGTCTCCATAACCGGAGACTACCCTACCTCACCCCTGGCCTCACTACACTGCAGCGCTCTAGCCAGCCACAGCAGAATTCTGCAACTGCGTGTTTCACATCCTTGGCAGGTCTAGCTTCCTCCACCTTGATCATCAAGGTTTCCCCAAAGGTAGATTGTAAGCCTTGGGTTTGAGTACAAGTAGCCCATAGAGAAGTATAAGGGAAATGGTGGTAGGGAAGTGAGGAAGTGATCCAAGGAAAGACTATCAGCAGTAACGAGCACCTGATTAAGCAGCCCACTGGGGCCACTTGAGCTCAATTATTAATGAAGCACAGGAAAATAGTGTAGAACATGATTTGGAGTCACCTTCATGAAGTCATGAAGACTAACAGAACTGGAACTAATTGCACAGCATACCTTAAAGCTTTGATGACAACTTTGCCAGAAAGTATTAATTCTGCACTTCAGTTCCACCATGTCTGAGGCCAGAGAGGCTTCCTTTTTTTAAAAAGATTTATTTATCTGAAAGGCAGAATTACAGAAAAAGGGGAGGGGGAGGGGGAGAGGAGGAGGGAGATGGATCTTGAATCCGATGGTTTACTCCTCAAATGGTTGTAATGGCCAGGGCTGGGCCAGGCTGAAGCCAGGAGACAGGAGCTTCTTCCAGGTCTTGCATGTGAGTGCAAGGGCTCAAGGGCTTGGTTCATGTTCTGTGGCTTTACCAGTCACATTAGCAGGGAGTAAATAGGAAGTGGAGCATCCAAGACTGGAACTGGCACCCATATGGGATGCCAGCATTGCAGGTGGTGACTTCACCCATTATGCCACAATGCTGGCCCCACAGCCTTCCTTCTTTTTAAAAAAATTTTTTTTTCTTCTATTTATTTGAAAGGGAGGTGGGGAGACAGAGAGAGAGAGAGAGAGAGAGAGAGAGAGAGAGAGAAAGAGAGAGAGAGATCTATTTTCCAGCCCCTGGTTCATTCTACAAATGCTTGCAACAATCAGGGCTGAGTCAGATCAAAGCCAGGAGCCTGAAAATCAGTCTGGGTTTCACATAGGGGTGGCAATGATCCAAATACTTGAGCCATCACCTGCTGCTTCTGAGGGTGTGCCTTAGCATTAACCTTGACGGAAAGCAAAGGAGCTGGGACTCAGATCACGTTTTCTTATATGGGCTGCATCCATCCCAAGCCAAGTGTCTAACCCAGTCCTCCTCCTTGGTCTTTGATTCATAAAAAGCCCAGGAAGACAGACAGGTAATGGCAGGTGGAAATTGGTCTGAACCGACTGATGTGTTCCAATCCCATGAGATACATACAGCATAATGACAATGTTTCCTCTGCTATGTAGAACAGTATCTTCCCCTCAACCATCATCTCTCTTTAATGTTGTATATTTCTTTATATTTCTCACCAATATCTACTATTATGCACACTCATTTAGGTCTTCTGATAGGCAGTACATGGTAACATTTGAAGGTTAAACTCCAAAGCCAGGCTGCCCAGTTTGGAGCCCCAGCCCAGTAGACTATAGAAACATGCCCAGTGCACTGTTAAAGGTTTAAATGAGTGCTTTCATATGAACAGTACCTGGCATATAGTATGCATTTTATCAGTCCTCATAGTTGTTACTTGTATCCTGCCTATCTTCCCAAAAGAATGAGATCAAACATTTTTTCAATCTGTTCATTATTGTTCTTCAGAGCCTAGCAAAGCAGCATAACAGACACCCAATGCATATTTGCTTAATGACACCATGAATTCCTGCCTAAGTATGCATTCTTACTTCACATTCCACCAAAAAGTACACCTTCAAATAGTTGATTTCCATTTTGTATTTGCTTCCCAAGACTGAGTTCCAAAGTCTCCTGTTTGCTAGGAATCCTGCTCTGATTTCCTGCTTTCCCTCCAAACTGCCCAGCAGCCCCACCTCTGCACCTCATCCATCACGCCTTTATCATGCCCTATTGTAATTATTTGCTTACTTGTGATTTCCTTATGGGCAGAGAAATGTTTTGTATTTGGGTTTTTTCCCTTAAGAACTCGACTAAGTACCAGGTGCTCAATAAATATTTGTGGAATGAATGAATAAATTTACCCAGCTAATCATTTTAATACATGGCAGCTAATCCTCCAAATCCTGCCTAGATCGCCCTCTGGTGTTAAAGGGTAAACAACTTGGGGTCTTCTAAAGAGCAATGCCATTCTTCTCCACAAAAGATGAGAAACTGAAACGAAAGGACTAGCATTTTGTGTGCCTCGGAATGGTGCAGAACCGCTGACTTCAGAATAGATGTCACAAAGCATGTCCTATTTGGCAATATACTGAGGTAAAGAGATGGAAAATAACCTTCCATGAGAGAGTGAGAAAGTACACAGCTCTTTTCCAGGAGGTCTCTTATTTCACAAGAATAACAAAATTTGCATTTCCCTGTTTGCCTGACCAAAAGCCAGAAATGATAGTTCAAAAAACTCTAGGACAGAATCATCTTGACTCTAAATACTGTCTGCTGTTTGTTTGTTTAAAACTTTTGGTTATTGTTGCTCTGCATTTCCAATTAATTAATTCAAGCATCAAAGCATGACTCTAAATTGCACACCTATATTTGGTGAAATTAAAAGCAAACAGCACAGTTCTATACATGTCAGATGTATGTTACCTGTATCTCAAGACGCTGCAAGTGAAACCAGCCGTTACAAAGTCTCCCTGGAATTCAACACCCGGAGTACATCACAGTGAACTAGGAGAGACAAAAGTTATCAAACTTGGTACAAATTCTTTTAAATCTCCTTATATCTGTGATTTAACTAAAAATGATTCCTTTCCCAGCAATCAGAGAGTTCAGTTAGTTGTTCATTTAAATACTTACAAAAAGCAAGAACACTGGTGTCAATCTTTAAAAAAAAAAAAAGCAAGCGTTTTTCAAATGAGGCATCTCGAATGTTCTGATTATATTCACTATAGGAAAATGGATAATCCCCAATTTACTATGAAATGCTGCCTCTAGCTATTTTATTTCTAATTGGGATCCTTTGTGTATTCAGGTCTTGGAGGGTTATAGAAATTGTCTGATCTCCTCAATGACTATCCCTTATTTCACCCCCAGTTTCCTACACCAACCTTCACTTTTTCTTTCTAGTTGTAATACTTCTTCATTATTTTCATATCCTCAGCCTCATTATAAATTCTTTTGGTATTTCTGTATGTCATACCAATCAACCCTGACACATTTCACCTAATTTTTTCTTCCAGCTTCTACATTCTGAGTAAGATGTAAAGATGGCCATATCTTACAATCCTCTAGGTAATCAGTTCCTTCACTGTTTTTCTTTTCTTTGTTTTTTTTTCCTTTTTTTTCCTTCTTTCATTGTTTCTTCCATTCATCATTAAAACATAATGGTCACATTTTCCAAAATCAATATTTAATTTAATCTCTTAGCCAGCACATCAGGGCAGACAAAGACAATTTCTCTTTGCACCTTGAATTCCATTTTAAGCCACATTCATCCAAAATGTCACTTGTCTTCCCCAGTGTTGAGCACTCTAATTATTGTTGCTTCACCAATGTTTTCAAAAGATATAACAATAAAGAACTGGGCAGTAAGGGACAGTTTATTTGTTAGCTGCACGATCCCATCTGCTAAGGACATGGATATGCAGTGTATCTGTAGATTGCAAGAATGTGGTTCAAATGACAGATTTCAGTTTATGTTTCTATAAAGTAAAATAATTATTAACATGCTAGCAGAAAGTTCAACAAAATTAGAATGAATACAAATGAGATGTTTTCTTTGGGCTTTTAAAAACAAAATCTACTCATCTGTGGTCTACCAACTTATTTTTCTGATGTGTCTCACATATAGTGACTCTTGCTGTAATGAAACTCTCTTCAATGTTTTTATTTATAAAACAATAGCCACCAAAATACATGAAATTTCATGGTTCAGTGATTGTCATCTACCAAGTCATATGAGATTGAATCATTCAAGGTTAAATAAAACACCTGCCTCCAAATACATATTACCTGAGGTTTCTCTGATTTCAATCACACAATCAGCCAGCTGACCTCAGAGATGGGAGGATAGATGATGAATAAGAAATATTTGCGACACTGACTCTGAACTCACTTAACTGTGTCAACAAAACATTATATAAATTTTTACAGTTTAAAAAGGGCCTTCCTAAACCAATAATATCTAAAATCACAAATTCTATTACTTTCAACACCTTGTAAGAAAACCCCAAATTGACCTTGATATGTTTTATGAGATTAAAAACTGAAATGGAAGCCAAACAAAAAAGAATCCATATGTAGATCCAAAGAAGACACATCAATAGAGCTTTTTTTAAAGGGCTGTTTAAATCCATTTCTTCTGAGATGGGTACGCTTTTGTATGCCCGATTTAAAGTGGAAGGGAGCAGTCCAGTACTTTACAATATAGATTCTGGGTAAATTTTTTGAATGAATCTATCGATGACAGGTATCTGCTGGTTAGCTACACTGAGGGCAAGGCAAAGAGATGAAATTTAAAGCACTGCCATATTTACACAGTTGCAGCCACAGCCTTTGGTCTTTCCTCTCTGATCTCTACCCTGCCTCTTCACTCAGCACACTTGAAAGTTTGAATGTTTCTGGAGAACCAGACTCTGCACAACTTCCCGAAGATGCTGTTTATATTTCAGTCTACAGCTCCTGTAGTTCCCTATTCCCATTTCTTTCCATGCTGAAACTGTTAAAGGTTTTACAAGGGATGTGTCTTCTCTTTGATTCCACATTCTCTGAATTGAATTTAGTTGCTTCTAAGTACTGGGCTTGCATATTTTGGTTTCCAAACTGAGCTTAGCCAGTCTACTGCATACACCTGGTAATTATTATATATATATTCAATAAGCAGATATTAAACTAATATTAAATTAAAATTCAGGAATATAATTTGTCAACAAACACAAATGCATTTTACGGCTAAATGTGATTCATTATGGAAAGAATCAAACCTTCCAAAGCTTAGCTCACAGAATAAACTCATAAAATAAAATACAGGATGCTTTAGTTTTGCTTTTTTTCTATAATAGACATAGGTTGTACCATGTGATTCTTATTATGGACATACATTCACAAAGCCAACTCAGTTAGGTACATATTTCTGCATCCTTCCAAGAAAAGGAAACAAAATGTCTAGAATAATAAAACAAGAAGTTAGTACATGTGGGACTGAAAGACTGACACTGACATCAAGGAAATCAAATTCTTTAACCTTGTGACCTCCCAAACCATGTGGGAGAACCAGAAGTAGTGATTTTATTTGTGAGTCAACTTGCCTCTCTTTAAATGTCAAACAGAAAGTCTCCACACCATAAAAGTTCCCAGGATGTGGTCGAATGAGTAGGACATGCCATGGGAGAACCCAAAAGAGACAATACCAGGACACCACAAAACTTCAGAACTTTTCAGTAGTTTATACCTGCACATCAATTTAATTTGTACTCAAAGATACTGATTTAAATAATGGAAGTGCTGTTTCAAATACAAAACAAAAATGAGATACAACCCAGCATACTACATGATAAAATTAAAATTGTACTTAGTCACAAATGTAATTTTACACTGATTTGTAGTTGTCTCCTTTATTTCTTACCTAAGTAGTGGCCAACACAATGACACATCTTACACACTAAAAAGTTATTCATCTTGAAAAAGAAACTTTCACATAAAGTACATTCAAATCTAAGTTTGGAATATCTTCTGATCTCAAAGTCTGCTATTAAAAATTAAATATATCAGCTGGCGCCGCAGCTCACTAGGCTAATCCTCCACCTTGCGTCGCCGGCACACCGGGTTCTAGTCCCGGTCGGGGCGCCGGATTCTGTCCCGGTTGCCCCTCTTCCAGGCCAGCTCTCTGCTGTGGCCAGGAAAGGCAGTGGAGGATGGCCCAAGTCCTTGGGCCCTGCACCCCATGGGAGACCAGGAGAAGTACCTGGCTCCTGCCATCGGATCAATGCAGTGCGCCGGCCGCAGCGCGCCGGCCATGGCGGCCATTGGAGGGTGAACCAACGGCAAAGGAAGACCTTTCTCTCTGTCTCTCTCTCACACTGTCCACTCTGCCTGTCAAAAAAATATATATATCATTTCCTGGCATGCAAATGTTACTGTCTAAAATATATAGGGCTGAGAGAAAAGAAGTCTTAAATACTGCACCGTATTGAGATTATATTCTCAAACTAACTAGATTATTCGCAAAATTCCATAGACACAGCTGAAAGTGAAATCTCGTCTGTGATAGTTTGCTTTACCCAGATGCAATTTTTAAAATGGTGCTTCCAACCTGGCACTGATAAAATGATATACAACAATTCTAGAACTTGATCAGTCCATGTATCAATGTACCATATCTAGAGAGACTTTGCTGATTGGAAAGTTAGTCTCTATGGCTACAGTCTCTCTCCACACACAAAGACACACAGACACACACATACACATACATGCACATATTTAGGTATGTCATCATAAAGTTTAATTTTTAGATATTTCCTTTCTCTTGAATTTCCTAGGGGTGAGACTTATAGAAACCCTTATGTATTAAAGATTGGAGTAAGATACACTAGATTTGAATCTCAGTTACATACATTTATCAGCATAAACATCTTAGGTATCCCCTTTATCATGTCATTCTGCATAATATGCATACTTTGCTATATTGACATAAGAAATGAATCACTTCTTTTTATGAAAAATAAACAAAACTGAATTGTAGATTACTGAACATGTGTAAATATTTTGTTTCATCCCACTAACTAGGCAGTGTTATTTTTTTCATTATTAGATCTTCTTTCATTATTTAGCCTTTTTCTCTTTCTTTCAGCTGTTCTTAATGCACACTCTTCCTCAAACATGTCAGATGATGTGACGAAAATAGTTTCTCCTTATTTTATTTATGTAGCTTGTCTTATATATACCATTTGGAATGTTAAAAGCTGGGACGCTAAACATGTTACATGTCCAGAAAAAAAAAACCTGAAATCTTGAGTTGACCAATACCTCAAAAAATTTTTTTTGGCAGTCTTGAAGTTCTAGCTGATTTGATGCACACATAAGTAAGTGAATTGCAAATCTAGGCTAGAGTTTTCCAGAAGCACCAGCAATTCTGGCACTCTCAGACTTTTTACAGAGGAGTCAGAAATTGCAGTTTGTTCACTCCCTGTTCTCCCCAAGTCTTGAGTAAATTCTAGAGCATTTTGGATATTACCCCTACTCCTTCTGTTTATTTATATTTTCGTTTATTCATTCTATCAACAACCATTTTTGAAGAGACTTTTATGTGCCAATTACAGTGCTAAACAGATGAGAAATAACAGGCTTAGTCTTGAAATTGGCTAAAAGAGATAATAGTTTTGTGTAGAGAAATCCAACTGTTCAGTGTTATTGCTGAGTTGTTAAGGGATATAATGGGGCAATTAAGTGACATTATAGGAACTCTTAGTGGATGCCTAACTCAGTGCTGTGAGAGGCAAGAGGGAACTCCCTAAAGAAGTAGTACTTAAGAGGAGAGCTGTAGCAGAAGCAGGACAAAGTCAGGCAACCAGTTATATTTTCCTTCTACCTTCCACTATCTCCTCTCAAGAAGGAAGTGTTCTGGTACTGATGCAAGAGTTTTCTACCTAATCTTCTGCTATCTTCCTGAGTGATTTCAGTGTCCTTCCAGAAGGCCGCTCCAACACAAATTTTTATTTCATTGCCTCAAT